AGGAAGGAAGGAAGGAAGGAAGGAAGGAAGGAAGGAAGGAAGGAAGGAAGGAAGGAAGGAAGGACACAGACAAATGAAAAGGGGAAAGATTAAATTACCACAGTCCTACGACCCGGAACCAACAAGTGACACAGGTATAACCTGCCCCTTCCAAATGACTCTGCAGTATTTGTGTGCTTTCAGCCTCACAAGTTGCTGCTGTGTCACCTGTCACAATAGCTAAAACTGCTATTTCCATCTTTCCAGCTCCTTCCTAAAATGAGCACAGGGCAATTCATCATGCCAACCCTGTGAGAAAACAATGAGGCAGAAAGCCCTATCTGGAAATAGACAGGGGCAAGAGAAGCTGGCACTGCCTGGCTCAGAATTTCTGTTCTTTTTCACGCAACACATGATGTCCGACCCCATCAAAAACACTGTTCTATAAAGAACAGTGTCCAGTCGGACAAGTCACATGATGAACCATTACAGAAACAATTAGTTTTACTTTAAATTGGTTTTCTTTCTTTAGTTACAAAGTATGTACGTCTACAGTCCCTGCCAGACATGACTGGTAAGATATTAACAAGTGTGGGTTTTTTTAAAGTATCTCTCTTTTAGTTTTCTTTAATGTGTATGGGTGTCTTGTCCACATGTCTATGCACCACTTGTATGCATGGTGCTTGCAGAGACCAGAAGAGGGTGTCGGATTTCCTGGAACTGGAGTTACAGGTGGTTGTGAGAAGCCATGTAGATGTTGGGAATCAAACCCAGGTCCTCTGGAAGAACAGCAAGGGTTCGTAATCATTGAGCCGTTTCTCCAGCCCTACAACTGGTTCTTCTGGTATTCTGTCATGTAAGAAGAAAAATTCACATGGGGGGAAAAATCAAGAAGAAAAGGCAGTGCAGCCCAGACAGCATGGCTTCATCTTCGACTTCATGGAAGAATGCTTAAATGTGGAAGAGTATGCTAGGTGATGTACCTGTCTGCCCATAAGCAAAGATACACGCATTGTAGCCATCAAATGCATTCTGAAGGATGTTCTCCCCAAGGCACTTGAAAACATCATCTTGACCTAAACAACAAGAAAATATTTTTAAGGGCAAAGAACACATGTATAAATTAAAAAGCAAACAAAAATCTCCAAAATAAAATTGCAATCTGCTTATTTATTCCCAAACAAGGTCTTTAAGGTTGATAGATGCTTCCAAAAGCTTCTGTCCCACAGGTTATTTCTAGTTAAACTGAGAAGGAGAGTCAGTAAAGGGTTCTCTCTAAACATGCTTGAACAAGGACATATAAATTATGCCACGCAATGCAGAGCTTAAGACCTGTTTGTTTTATAGTCAACGATTAAGATTCAACGATTTTCTCTATTATATGGGTGTCATGTGTGTATATGTGTTGTCACGTGTGGAGGTCAGAGGACAACCTTAGGAGTTGGTTCTCATCATTCACTATGTGGGTCCTGGAGATTAAACTCAGATCACCAAGCCTGGTATAAGCACGTTTATTATCTGAACCATCTCACTGGCCCTAAATATCTGAAATTTCAACTTAGGACCTAGATGTGCCTGAATTTAACTATATACCTTATTTTTATTCAAAGTACTCTACAGTTCAAAAAGAATCATGCACATCAATTACTCTCTCTCTCCTTTTCATTTTCCTTTTCCTCATAAAAACTTGAAGTTGCATGACCTATAATTCACAACAGTTAGAACAAGGAGTGAGATTCTGGAAACAGGAATAGAGAGATGGTTCATAAGTTAAGATTACTTGCTGTTCTTGCAGATGACCTGAATTCAATTCTCAGCATCCGTATGGAGAAATGAGGATGAGACAGTTATCTTTGGGAAGGTAGTAGAACAGGGGCAAAAGGAAACTGAGAGGGGTTGTGGTACAAAGGGAAGAGAGACATGCTGGCAGGCCTGAGGAAGCATTACAGAGGTTTTAAGGACTAGAACTTGGACTCCTGTGTGGGCTCCTCCCGCCTTATGACAGGTCCCTCTAAATCACTTCACAGATATCTTGGGAGGCTACATGATATAGCTTCTGGTCCCATGAGATGTATGAGAGGGCCTCCATGAGATCCTATAGTCACCTCACACCAAGAACATCACACTCAAGTGGCTTGGTCCCCAGACAGCACAAAACCTTTCATAGGAAATGCTGGCAGCAGCTGTCTGGACACTGTTTAAAAGTTACACCAGATCTGGAGAGATGCCTCAGTGGTTAAGAGCACTGGTCTGCTCTCCCAAACGACCCAGGTTCAATTTCTAGCACCCACATGACAGCTCACAACTGTCTGTAATGTCAATTCCAAGGGACCTGACACCTTTACACTAATGTGCATGCAATAAAATTAGAAAAAAAAGTTACACCAAATGACACATGGGAGTGGATGGAAAGCATAGCAAAATGCTTCCACATTACTAAACGCACAGGAAAAATTGTGCTCAGTTACCTGCATACTTCTCTCGGACAGATTCATCCATGGACCAGAAACAGTGATCATAAGCAAATATCTGTTGCAGAGGGAACATAAAAAGAGTGCATGAAGAACATATTTTAACATCACACACAACGCCATTATAATAATGCATAGCATTGTTAGCCAACTTACTAGCTAGGACAGATGGCACAAGCCTATAATTCCAGCACCTGAGGGATAGGAGGGTAGGCAAGTTTCAGGCCAGACCGGGCTACACAGTGATCATGTTTCAGCTGCCCACCCCTCAGAGAAACGCCAATACTTGATGCCAGAGAGTAGGGGTTAGTGATGCATATAGTCCCACAGTGACAAGTGTGTGATACAGATCCATCTTACATGGAAAACCAGCTGCAATGGTAAGCAAAAAGGAAGCGTGTGCGACAACATGTATAATAGCAACTATGTGTGTGCAGCTATGAAAAGAAAGTTTGTTTTTACTGCTTGGCGAGTTGGTTTTCTGGTTTTTTAATTTCTAATTAATATTCTCAGTCATTCTCTCTGTCTCTCTCTTTCTGTTCCACTTAAAGTACCTACCCAAGTTTGCCACCACTTACTTTATTGTACTGGCTGCTTTTGTGTCAACTTGACACAAACTAGAGCCATCAGAAAGGAGGGAGCTGTAAGGCATTTTCTCAAGTAGTGATCAACGGGGAGGGCCCACTGTGGGCTGACTAAGACAAGTTGGTATCAAGTGGGATATTACTATGACAGATCTGACCGTGTTTGGGGAGAACTGCAGAAGGACTTTAGAACTTTGGGGCTAGAAGAGCCACTGAGTGTTAAGAACTCAGTTCATTAGGAGCTTGGAAGAGAAGAATATTGAGAGCAGTGCAGAAGAGGGAGGTCTGGCTTGTGAGGTTCCAGAGGAAAGTTTAAAGACTCTATAAGGGCTGTTTGCTATTTTGAATTCAAATTCTGTTATTCTGGTCAGCTGGGGCTAAAGAGTCAGCCACAATTAACAAGGGACCAGCAGCATTGAAGTGAAACTTTTGTATATTACATAAGCTAAGAAATTAGTGGTTACTGAGGCCAGCATCACTGAGGGAAATCTCAGAAGTGTTTTCTAAAGAGCACAGAGAAGCTGTGTTCCAGAAATGGCCGAGATTGTATCTCGTGCTGGCCTCAGAACTTGGCAGTGTAGAAGTCACCCAGACAATACTGGTCTTGAAGGCATGAAGAGGTCAATAAAAGGGACCGGGAGAGGCCTCGAGTGAAGGTTCATCCTAAGGAGAAGTTGAAAGCCCAGGACTGAAGGGGTCATGCAGAGAAGCTGAGGCGTGGCACCATGAAGAGAGCCCATTGGTGAAAGTACAGCCCAATTGCAGAGGACACTAGTGGTTTTGGAGATCCAGTATCAGCAGACAACTATGAAAAACAGCAGGAGCAGTAGAGTGGAGCCAGCCAGAGCCTAGAAGACAAGCTGTGTGTGGGTTGCAGAGGGTGGAACACAGGAAGTAACTCAAGCCCCTTGGAAAAACCCAGAAGATCTTGAATGGATCCCAGACATTAAACATTGTGTTGTTTATACATTTGGAGTTTGGGTTTGCTTTGGTTTGAATGTAACTCTGTCCTGGTTCTTCCCTCTTGAAGTAAGAAAGTATTTATTTGAATTGTGATTTTTACAGGAGCTCACAACTGAAAGATTTTGAACTTTTCAAAAAGATTTTGGATTTTTAAAGAGTAGATTTTTTAAAGAAACTGAAATGGAATGTGTTTGAATTGTAAACACTAGGACTTCCAAGTTTTTGTGTTTTTAACGTGAGATCTTGGGGATGAATAAGAAAGGAGGGTTGTGGCTTAAAAGTAATGTGTTTGTGTGTCAAGGTACTGGCTGTCGGTTGTACTGGCTGTTTGTGTGTCACCTAGATACAAGCTAGAGTCATCAGAGAGGAGGAAGTTTCAGTTGAGGAAATGTCTCCATAAGGTCCAGCTGTAAGGCATTTTCTTAATTAGTGATCAATGGGGGTCCAGGCCATTGTGGGCGGGACCATCCCTGGGCTGTGGTCCTGGGTTCCCCTAACAGGCTAAGCAAGCCAGGGGAAGCAACCCAATAAGCAGAACTCCTCCAAGACCTGTGCCTCCAAGTTCCTGGCCCGTTTGAATTCCTATCATGACTTTTTTTGGTGGTGAACAGCACTGTCAAAGTATAAGCTTAATAGACCCTTTCCTCCCCAACATGCTTCTTAGTTGTGGTGTTCCACTATAGCAACAAAAACCCAAACCGAGACACTAGCACAACTTAAAGAAAAAAAGAAAAAACTTGAAACAGGGACTCATTTACAAAAGTACCACAGCTAAGCACAAGGCTGGAAACTAATAAATAGTAGTTTTTATTTACCGAAAACACTCTTAAGTAGCTCCCTTTAGGTTTTAGCAATTTTGTAAACTGCTACAAATATCTTCTAGCCCAAAACTTCATGAAGTCAGATGGTAATCACACTATATTCATGCATGCTCCATTCACAGATCCAACTTAATGAGTATTTTATACAAAACTAGAGTAAGTCCTGGTAGCTCCAATTAAGTCCTGGTAGCAGCTGTTTAAGTAGCTAGTATCTTATCACAACTTTAGAGCCTGCTCCCTTTGTCAAATATGGTGCAGTGGACACTGGCTTCAAGAGGCTGTTTGCTTCTTTGGCTAATGAACATGCTTAGCCTCCCTAGGAAACAATTTGTTGAATAGTTAGGAGTGAGCTCGGGTGTAGCTTAGCACTTGTCTAACATGTACAAGGTAGTAGGTTTGATCCCCAACCATCACTCAAATAAAATGTACTAACTTGTTAATGGTAAAGTTGGAAGTCAGGTTTGGTATGGAGCAGGTCATCTTTTAATCAGAGTGGTGTTCATGTTTTTAGGGCTTTCCATTATAAGCAGCAAATACGATCCTATTTCTTGAGTTTGAGCTTTTTTTGGTTTTTGTTTTGTTTTGAGATCAGGGTGACCTCAAACACTCAGCAATCCACCTGCTTCTGCCTCCCAACTGCTGGAATTAAAGGTGTGCAGCACCCCATATCCAGTGCTATTCTTTTTTTATTATGAATTATTCAGGAGCATACAAAGCAATGGGTTTCCTTCTGGCATTTGTGTCATTTCATATATGTGCTGTTTTATTTCCTCCCTCCCCCACTGTCCTCCCTTGTTCCCTTCTTTCTAAATAAACATTAGTTCTTTAAATCAAAAAGGTTTTCAGTGAGCAGAGAAGAAATACATATTCACAGTAACAAATTCCACAGAAAATATAAGATAAAAAATAAGACTGGTGAAATGGCTCAGAGGGTAAAGATGCTTGCCACCACACCTGACGACCTGAGTTCAAGTCTCCAGGACTCAACTGGTAGAAGAACAGAACTGATTCCCAAAGCTGTCCTTAGACCACTAAGTGCCTGACACAGCATACACGTGGCAGGGTAAGCATGTACATGTGTGCACACACATGCTTCACACACACAATAAATTAGTCTTTTTAAATAAATAAATTAAGGTCTCCAATTTGCCAAGTTTGCTTCCCCCCCCCCCCCCAAGGAAGCATCTTAAGGGTGTGGACTTCCCCTTCCGGGCTTTCTGTCTGCAAAGCATTTTCTCTAAGTGGTGAGAACAGTTCACAGAATAAAACATGGCAAGCTTTTAATGCTGGGAAGTGGTTTCCTCACATCTTTACTGGCCTCTATCTTCTGCTCCAATAAAAAGCATAATTAACCCAGCACCCTTTCATAGCAAAAATGAGGTGACGTTCACAAACATAAGGAGACCAGTATCACATTCAAGCACTGTTTAAAATGTCATTAGCGATCCCAAAATATTTCAGCAACAGTAACAACACAGAGTTACAGCTCAACCACAGGCTATAAAACAAAAACAAGCCCAAGAATGTAGACAAACTGACTTTCCTGGAAGGACTAAGTAACTTCAGAGAACTGTCCAGTTAAAAGCAGGCTTCGGGCTGGAGAGATGGCTCAGCCGTTAAAGGCTAGGCTCACAACCAGAAATATAAGAGTTCGGTTCCCAGCACCCACGGCTGTCTCTCCAACCACCTGAGTTAATAAAATGTAACTGATAAGAAAAAAATAAAATAAAATAAATAAAAATAAAAGCAGGCTTCGTGCTCACTCAGAGGACCTGTCAAAGTAAGACCCACAGGCGCTCAGCAGTTAAGAGCACCCGCTGCTCTTTCAGAGGACAGTGTTCCCAGCACCTACGTGGTAGCTTACAACCATCTGTAACTCTAGCCCCAGGGGATCCCACAACCTCTTCTCAACTCCATGAGCACCTGGTATGCACATGGTGCACATGTGTGCACACATATCACAAAGACAAAACGTTCAGACACATAAAATAAAATACATCTTTAAAAGAAATTTTAAGGACTCTGAGGAGACAAAGAAGCCAACACTCCAGACAAAAGTTAGTTTAGTGGGTAAAGAGGTCTGCCACCAAGCTCAATCCCCGGAGTCACACGGTGTCAGAAAAGAACCAATGCCTGAAAACTGTCCACTGACCTTCACATATGCAGTGGAAATGCAGTAAGATGTGCAACGCACACACAAACACACACAGAAATTTATTTTTTAAATGTAATTTTAAAAAAGTTTCAAGGGTAGTCTCAGAATTTGGCTCCCATGTAAAATGCAAGCACGGCCCCTAGAGGAAGCTGGAGCCCATCATCAGGGCTCCATTGGGACCCCATGGGTCTGGCAAAGCATGCCAGCTGCCTAGGAGCAAGAAGAGCTGGAATGGCCCAGAGTGACCACAGTCGGGAACAACAGTTTCATGCTAATCTATGGTGCCAAGGAATCTGTGTTGGGTTGCTAGGAGTCTGGGCAGAACTGGCCAGAGCACACTGCTCTCCACAGCCCTACAGTCCAATCTGTGCCAATAAGCAGCTCTGGAGTCATGAGACAGCCAGCAGCTTATACTGCTTTTATAAACCTGCAGGAAAAAGGAATTTTCACTTTTGAGATGAAAATGCCCACTTCTGCAGGGATGCGGACAGAAATCTCTACAAGCATCATGGGAAGAACTCTTACCTTCGGCTGGCCCCTGAGTTCCGGAGAGCGGTGTTGCCATGGACATAAAAGAAATGGGACAAGGGTTAGCAAAGAAGTGTAGTTTAAGCAACTCTTTTGAACAGTAAGAGATAATAATCGTATGTAAATCTGCAATAAAAAAACAAATACTAGCCAAGCACACATACCTATAACTCATACCCACAGGATGGAGGCAGGAGGATAAGGAGTTTAAGATCTGTCTGAGCTACAGAGCAAGTTCAAGATCAGTCTAGGCTACAAAGATTCTGTCTCAAAGGGAGAGAAGATAAGAAGAGGGATAAGAAGAGGACATGAGAAGGGAAGGTGAAAGGGGATGAAAAAAGAAAATATAACTATTGAAACCAAATAGTAAATGAAAAGTAAATTAATACTAATGAAGGGAGGGAACAGATGACAGCTGACTGACCTGTGTCCCTCCAACAGAAAGGAGGACCTGAGCACTGAGGGAGCCTTAGGGGAGAATCCTGAAGTCCCAATGGCTCTTTGCTCATCCTTGTATATGATTTATACATAATCTTTCTTAAACACTTGACTTCTGAGCCAGGCACAGTGGCACCTCTCTGTTGTCCCAGCTACTAGGGAAAAGAGGGTTACGCCAAGAGGACTGTAAGTCTAAGGCCAGCCTGAGCTACATAATTAAATCCTGTCTCAGGCTAGAGAGATAGCTCAGTGGTAAAGAGCACTGGCTGCTCTTCAAGAGAAGTACCCACATGGCAGTTCACAACTGTCTGGAAAGCTGGTTCCAGATGGCTTGACACCCTCTTTTGGCCTCCTCCACCACCGGATATGGCATGTGGTACACAGATATACATGCAGGCAAAATACACATAAAAATAAAATAATAATTACAATATGTATACAATGTTCTCCCTGCATGTGTGCCTGCAGGCGAGAAGAGGGCACCAGATCTCATTACAGATAGTTGGGAGCCACCATGTGATGCTGGGAATTGAACTCAGGACCTCTGAAAGAGCAGACAGTGCTCTTAACTGCTGAGCATCTCTCCAGCTCAATTACAACATTTTTTTTTAAACCTGTCTCAACCACAGAAACTACCTGTTGTCTGGTTTCAATTTTAGAAATTTCCTGAGGTTTTACACAGCAGCCACTTAACACTTTTACCTGTCCAGACCTTTCTATCCAATGGGACTTCTGTTCTGGATCAGAAAAAAAAAGTTAAATTAAAGAAACAACTGATTTCTTGCCAGGGAGCTCCTATTCTGTAGGTCACCCAGTACATGTCCTCTTAACTTGCCGAGGCACTTCAACCTCCCCTCAGTCCATCTGTCTGAAACTGCCAGAAAAATAACTAAGGCCTAAAATCCAACAAAGAACTCCCACAGACCCTTCACCCCAAATCCCAACTGTTACCCCTGAACCAGGCTGCCTGCACATCTTTCCTCTCCACAGACATAAATAAACATGCACACTTCTTTTTTCCTGGACCAACTGAACGCAGCATGCCTTCCACCCTGAGCACTCAAGTGAAGAATATTCAAGTTATTCCAAATAACAACCATGCTCATTTATGTTCAAAAAGCAAACTCAAACCAACTTAAGAATAAAAGACAGTATGTTCTCTTGGGGTTTTGTTGTTCTTTGTTTGTTCGAAATGAGTTCCCATGCTAGCCTAGAACTTAGTATGTAGATCCAGCTGACCTTAAATTCACAGCATTTCTCTCCTGCCTTAGGCCCAAGGTACTACCATTAAAGGCAGGAGCCACTCCTGGCTCAAACAAGAATAGTGATTCTGGCCTGAAACAAGAATAGTGATATCTGGTCCTTCTCAGAGAATCCAAACACTCAGCCTAAACTTGAGTAAATACTACACACAAATGTCCCCATTAATTGTCTACTACATGCTTTCTTGTTCCTTTGTCTCATAAGATTTTCTTATAGAAGAAATCTGATATTTATGTGTACCAAATGACTTGTGATGTAAACAATAAACGTCTAGTAAATGGTGACAAGTATCTGGAGGTAACACATCTAGAGGTAACATATCTAACAGAGCTAAGGTGTTAAAGAAAGTCTGTTTTTCTGAACTAACAAGTCATGGGAAAACTTCCTGACAAAAAGCCCTAGACCAGCAAGACAGCTCAGAAGGTAAAGAGGTTTCCTGCCAAGCTAATGCCCTGAGTTTGACCCCTAGAACCCACAGAGTAGAGGACCGACTCCCACAGGTGTTCTCTAACATCACACATATGCACCCTCACAAGCACACAAGAAATAAACGTAAAGAACATTTTAAAGCCTTGGGAGCTATAACACAGGTCACTGTCAAATGCCACCACTGTTACAGGTATTTATAGCAAAGCAGAGTCTCAAGTCTGGACAAAGTGGTTAAAAATGTAGCCATGCATATGAGGTGTCCGCAGGCCAAGGACACTGACAGCACAATGCTCCTACAGGCTCATGGTAACTTACAGGGAATGCTAATGCTTCCAGACTTACAGGTGAGAAGTTGAAGATTCCGAGAAGTTTAAGCACCATCTAATGTAATGGGTCTTCTAACTCCTAAGCCCACAGTCTTCATCTCATGTTGGTCAACATGACCAGGACTTAAAAGAGTCCCTGAGCCACTCACCAACACTCTTGTGAACAATGGCACCTCCAATGGGTTCATTCCCTCCACTTTAACTATTACCTATGACCTGGTTACGGTTTTGACAACTTGACACAAGCTAGAGTTATCTGGAAAGAGGATCCTCAATTGATAAATGCTGCTATCAGGTGGCCTGTAGGCAAGTGTGTGTGGGAGGGAATTTTCTTGATTAACAATTGATGTAGAAAGACCAAGTCCCTTGTGGGCAGTGCCACCCACGCAGGTGCTCCTGAGTTGTCTAAGAGAGCAGGTCAGGTAAGCCGTGAGAAGCAGGCCAGTAAAGTAAGCAGTGCCCCTCCATGGGCTCTGCTTCAGCTCCTGCCTCCAGGTTCCTGCCCAGAGTTTCTGCCCTGGCTTCCCTCAGGGATGGACCATAACTGTAAACTGTCTGATAAAATAAACCCCTTCTTCCTGAAGTTGCTTTTGGTCATGGTCTTTATCACAGCAAAAGAAAGCTATCTAAGATAAGCAACCATAGGGTTCCCAGGAGGAACGTAGGCCAGTATTTTGCTATTTAATATGTATATGAAAATTCTTGTCTTTTCTGAGAATAAAAACATGCATCTAGTATAATATTTCAAGTTTAAGTAAAATAAATTTTTAAAAAACTTTCTAAAATCAGCTTTTCCTAAGAGACAACTGAGAAATATAAAACTGAACATATGACTCACTGCAGAAGAATCCACAGACTCACCTGAATTCAAAGCAACTCAATAAAAACAGAAACAAACCAGTAAGTGAATTACAAGGCTACATTTCCAGCTAGGAAGTCTGGGAGCCCTAACAGTAAAGCTCAGGTAACCTACATGGCCACAGGATACCCCAATACATAATTACAGCTCTGTACAAAAATAAGTAGGTTAATTAATGGCTTAATTAATTAAACAAGACACCGTCAACAGGGAACTGAAATCCCATGCAGCTACTGTGCACCAGTCCCAGGGTTCTTACCCAGAAACCTCAGTGTGCCCCACTACAGATACTCTTGAAGCAAAGAAAAGCAGGCAGTTCCTGACCCATCCAAAGTGCTGGCACCAAGCATGTCCACCACAGCCTTTATTTCTTAGCCCTGCTGAATTAATTTTCTCATTTTTTTAAATTTCATCTTAAGTACTTTCAAACTTACAAAAATAGTGCAAAGAATTCCTACAAAGGCTTGCTCAAGCTTCCCCACATGCTAATACAGAACCCCAGTCATGTGATCAAAGTCAAGGCAAATCTATCAACATACAACCTATTAAGTAACAGCCACTTGTATCCAAATTTTGCCAACTACGGTCACTGGTGTATTTTTCCTCGTCTAGAGACCTGGGCTGTTTGACGTTATCCCATCTCCTCTAACCCAGGCCAGTTTGGCTATCATGCACACCTGGAAGCACTGGCCACTCTGGCTGCAGAGCATCCTCAGACTAGTTGCCTAATGCTTCCTCCTGACTCAAGCGGGCCTGTGTGCTTGGGCAAGTATCAATACAAATAGCAGATGCCCTGGTACATGCATCCTACCATGTGCAGGGTAGAGCGTCCAGGGCTCATTCTGCCTGGCCGGCAACAGTGTGACACTCTTCACTCTCTAAGGTTACTGTTCCTCCTTGTGTCCTTGATATTCATCCAATAGGATCTCTAAGATCATGCAGACCCTCTGTCTCATCACACTTCCAATGGTAAACTTTAGTGTCCTAATGTAACCCCTTGTCTGCAGTGACTAATGTGTCCCAAGCAGTAGGGAGACAACTACAGCACTGGACACGAAAATGCTAAGGATCCAGGTGGATCAGCATGGAAGGTGCTGCTGTTTCAGACGAGGTCAGTTTGAGAAACAACATACAATGTGGCTGCAGCTGGGGATCCTGTCTAAGATGTGCAAGGCTCTGGGTTCCAATACCAGCACTGCATAGGCCCCACATGCAAAAGCTGGGCATTTCATTTTAAAAAAGAAATGGTATCTATGATAAACTATTCTCTTACTCTTTTTTATTGATCTTGTTTAGGGGCCTGTGTTCACTTCTCAAATAATAAATTATATCATGAAAATAAATCAAACTACGTTCCTAGGCTCTAGACTGGTGATAAAGATGTTTGGTGATGATTTTATGTATATTGATAATCTCTGGAAATGTTTCATTAATACCTCTGACAATGACATAAATAAAATTGATGTAGAATATAAAAATAATTCACACAATATTACATACACTTAAAACATAGACATGTCAAAATGAGTTATAAACCAACTAATTACCACTGTCAACCAATAAAATTCAAGTATTATCACCTCTTTTGTTCTCCACTATTCTGTGTATATGAGTTTGTGCATGCATGTGCATGGGGACAGGGGGTGTCTCTCATTACATATTCCTGGTTGGCTTGAACTTACACAGGCCAGGCTG